CAGCCTCAGCGCACACCCCATCCCTGGACAGTCAAATTCTGCCCTGCACGGCCCCAGGGCACACCCCATCCCTGAATGGTCACACTCTGCCCTGCATGGCCCCAGTGCACACCCCATCCCTGGACGGTCACATTCCTGGATGTGCCCTCAGTGGACAAGGTGCGGTGAGCAATGCATGTCTGAGCCGGGACAGGTTTTCCTCCTCCTCTTTCCAACGCTGCCAGAACATCCGCAGGGAGTGAAGTCTCCATGGTGCTGTCTGTCCCTGCGCTGGCGACAAGGGCGGGGAGAGTGATGACTGGCGGCTCCCGGAGCAGCCTCTCAACCGTGTTGTCACAGATGGTCCCGTCCTCCCTGCATCAAACCTCACGGTGTTTTTGTATTCTAAAGCGCGTGCACGTTTCAATGGGGTCACGGATTTTGTAGTAATATTTTAGCTTGGAACTGGTAAGAAACTAAGACAAATTAAATTCGATGCTAGTTTATAGTTGCATTTTAAAAGATTTTGAAAATAAACAGCATGATGAAGCCCAAAGAGTGATCATAAACTCCTCAAAAACATCAGAAAAGCCATCTGAAATTTAAAAAGTAAAATACATGAGAATCCACTGCTAAAAAATCTGAAGTCGAAATGAACAAAGGAATCACCTGCCACCTGCTCCGAGGCACCCTCAGCCCCTGCGGAGCCTCTCAGTGTGCCCGGCGGCCTCCAAGTGACGAGTGTCCTTCAGGGGAAAGAAGTTCCCTAGTGCCCCTGACATCTACCACATGGGAAACTGTCTTAATATAGTGTCACAGCTTCTGACACGCTGCATTTTAAAACCTCGTCTCTCTGTGTTTAGGGTAAATTTCCCTCCTGCAGGCACTTTCAGAGCCGGGCCTCGCTAGGACGTCGGGGTGCCTCCTGGCCCCTCCTGCCCCACACCCCCAAGCCACAGTCTGTCCCACCGTGGACCCAGGAGGAGCCCTGGGCACTCTGTGGATGTGGCTTTCCTTCCAAGGGGTGGCCTCTGGCGCACCCCCATGAGACCCCAGCACCTGCCTCAGCTCCAGTGGAGGCGCGGGGCGGACCCGACTGAGACCCAGGCCAGGCAGGGAGGGAGCGGAGCCCCTTCAGGGCTGCAGCTGGGGCCACCTGTGTCCTCGGGAGCCGCGAACGGATGTGGGACCTCAGGGGCCATGTGGAGACCCGGGGACCGCCCAGCTTTTGGCTGCTGAGCTGCGTGCACGTGGCCACCCCGGGCCTGGGCCTGTCGGGGACTCCGAAGGTGGCCACCCGGTCTCAGGGTGATTCTGCCAGGTGCGGTCGGGCCCAGGGCGCTGGGCACAGACACTAGTGGGGTGCGAGGGAGACGCGCATGGACTGAGGGTGGGAAGAGCGGCCCCAGCCAGGCGCACAGCCAGGGACCTTCCACACCTGGACCTGAGCAGTGCGTGGTCCCAGCGCTGGGCTCTGCACTGGGTAGGGCCATGGCACATGGAAACCTGGGGCTGGCCGTGGCCACAGCAGTGGCTGTGACATCAGCAGATGTCAGTGAAGACCCCCCTCAGGGACCCGGGCTCCAGTCCAGAGTGGGAATGAACCGTGTGGACCTCACGTCCCGCAGAGCAGCTTGGAGCAGTCACCCTGGGTCTTTCAAAGTCTCCCCGAACTTGGAGACTTTGAACACCCTGGACCAAGGCTTCCCTGGAGATCCCCGGGCCCTGGCACACCCTGAAACTCCTGTGCCTGGACACGGCGGGGCTGGGGCTTGGCCCTACCTAGAGCCCAAAATGTTTTAAATGTTAGTCTTTGCTTTAAGATGAGAAAGTCTGGCTCAGATCCTCTTCCACTGGCTGGCATCTGTACCTCCATGAAACTTCCAACGTCTGGACTGTGAATAAGGGACTTTGACCTAAAAGTTTTTACAAGCTTTAAAGTTTCAGTGAAAATACTTAGGTACTGATATTTCTTGGGAAGTTTGATGTAAAACAAACAAACAAACAAAAAGCATGTGTTTTGCCTTAAGGAAGTTTGGCCAGCTGCTCCCCACAGCCTGGGCTCCCCAGGAAAACCCGGCTCTGCCACGCTGGTGTCTGCTGTCCTGACTGTAACCAAAAAATAAACTTCTAAGCCCCCAACAGACTGAAAGGATCCCCCTCTGTCAAGGGGATTTCAAAGAAACCTGAAAAGGTCAGGCCATGGCGGGGTGTGGGGGTCGGAATTGCCTCAGTCTACCCTCCGCCCTCTGGAATTCAGGCACAACTGAGCAGTACTAACATCGAAACGGATCTTAAGACAGACACACAGGCTGTTTGTAGCAATAAGATGCCAAATTCCCACCTGATGCTAGGGCAGCGTCACAGAACAGAGAGCAGGCTCTGGAAGTCCCCGGATATTTTGCCCCATAATATATTTATTTGACATACCTTTTCACGGCCCTGCAAAGCTGCCTCTTGTGGGAGAAACGCATGTTCTGTAGAGAATCATCTTCCCTTTCCAGGCCTTTTTCTGATGCTGAAGAGATTGGCTGAGAGTCTAGCACCTTCTAAAGGTCTAAATAGGAAACATTTGCCATCCAGTGTCTCTAAGGGTGGCCACCTATGAGACTCCATCTACAGCGTAAGAACCTTGGTCTCCAAGCCCCTTCACCAAGACGCTCCTTTCTGTTGATGCCAGGTCTTTAGATAACTTAACTCCTTTAACCAATTGCCACTCAGAAAATCTTCAAACACACCTATGACCAGGCAGTCCCCACTTTGAGTTCTCCCAGCTTTCCAGAGCAAACCAGCGCACCCCTCACATGCATGATTGATAGATGTCTGCCCGTAACTTCTGTCTAAAGCCAGGCTGTAACCCAGCCAGCTGAGCACATGTTCTCAGGACCTCTTGAAACTGTGCCTCAGGCCCTGGCCACTCATATTTGGCTCAGAAGAAACCTCTCGAAATATTTTAGAGTTTGGCTTTTCCCCCTCAACATGATCCTGCCACCCAACAACATGAGCTGATGAATAAAAATGGTTTCAGGTGTCAACCTGCCCTTCCTCCCCCAACGAAGAGAAATACCTTGTCTGAAACAGAATGTTAAGCTCACTTTCTTTGCTCCTGTTTTCAGCCAGAGGTTGGGCCAGGGGTTCCCTGGAGGCTCAAGTCACCCAGAAGCCATAGGGACACCCCACCCATGACCTTCCCCCATGGGAGTCTGAGTGGAAAGTGGGGGAATGGGGCACAAGAATGGGTTAGCAGGACTTAGAAAGAGTGACATCTTCTCAAACGAAGTGACAGATGCCTTTCACGGGGTGAAGGGAGGGCTGCCTGCCACGCTCCCACGGAAGGGCCGCAGCTCGAGCCGGCACACCCGAATGCTGCTGTGGGTGCCATGCAGACAGCTCGGGGCTCTTCCCTGGGCAGGGGGCCCTGCGTGTGGCTACAGCAGCCGGCAGAGCTGGGACGGGGCCTCCAGGGGTGGCTCCCTCCAGGGTTATCCCTGAAGCGTGAGAAGCACAGGTTGGCATTGTTCTGGGCACGTAGGATGCCAGCCACACTCACTTTGGCTCTGGGATACCTCCTTCCCGTTCAAAAAGGAGGAAAGAACAAAAACCACGTATCTGTATCCTTCTGACTGTGGAGTATCAGAGCACCTCAGGAGAAACTGGGGGCCCCACAGAAGAGATGCCCCCCAGATGCCCACTGCACCCTCTTAAGGTGAAAGCGGCCACAGCAAAGCTTTTTGAATTCCCAGATCAGTGCAGGGAAGTCCTTCCCGGAATGGTGGATCCTCCGCTGCATTTTTATAATTGTGGTAAAACATAAATAACATAAACCATCTGCCATTTTAACCACCGTAAGTGCACGGTCCAGTGGGTGAAGCACATTCACAGTGTTCTGTGCAGTCGTCGCCACTGGCTGTCTCCTGGGCTGTCTCCTCCTCCCAACCTGAAGCTCCTCCCTGTGAAGCGCTCACTCCCCAGTCCCCGCCCCCAGCACCCCATCTGCTTTCTGTCTCTATGGACCTGTGGACTCCAGGGACCTCCTGTGAGTGAGACTCACGCATGACTGTCTTTTGGGGGCCTGGCCTTTTTCATGGGAAATGATGCCCTCGAGATTCACCCATGGTGTGGCCTGGGTCAGATTTTCCTTCCTGGTTCAAAGCTGAGTAATACTCCACCGCAGGACGAACCACACTGCGCGTGTTCATGCAGCCCTGGACAGAGCTTAGGCGGTGTCTGGCTTTTGGCTCTTGTGAATAGCTGTGATTGCAGTTGACCCTCGAGCAATGCGGGTTTAAAGCACACGGGTCCATTTATCAAGCCGGTGGCTTGCACATGGTGGGTCTGCCTGGCTGCAGGGACTGAGTGTGGGGACTGGTCCCATATCTGAGGTTCTGGGACACCAAGGGGTGAGGGCGCCGTTCTTCGTCTTCGCCGGCAGCGCCATCACTAAGTGGGTTTCCTGCTCATCAACACCCTGATTGTTAGGAGGAGAGGAGAGGAGAGGGCCCGGGAGGCCCCAGCACAGCCCTCGGACTCACCACCGCGTCCCGGGCTGCTCCGGCCTCCAGCGGCCTCCTGGCCTCGGGGTCCAGGCCTCTCCCCAGCCCCCATCGGAGTTAAAACCGCGGCGGAGGCCCCGGCAGCTCCTGCTCCTCCCCGCGGCGCCACCCCCGCGCCCTCCGACCCCGGAGGAACCTGCGATCTCCAGGCCCCTTCGCAAGTCTACCACTGCGTCCGCTAACCGTGGCGCCTCCCTTGCCAGGGCCTGGCTCCTTTCGCGCCCTCTTTACCAAGCTGGGTTTTGCCGGCATCGCCTGGCAGATATGACGGGAAAATGAATTTCAGCTTTCATGTCGCACATGCCAAGTCTGAGGCCCAAAGCGGCCCGGGGGTGGGGACAGCGCGGGGCAAACCCGGGAGGTCCCTGCGGACGTGGGGTGGCTGGTGACCCTCCCACGCCAAAACCCACGGGCGCGGCCTCGGCTGGAGCGGAGCCTCCCCACGCACTTCGTGCCCTCTCCACAGTGTTTTGTTTGTATAATTTTTTATTGTTTATTGTTATTTTTCTTCCCCTCTGGGGCTGGTGGAAACTTCAAAGGCCAACGGGAATGCAGAGGTGGACGGTCGTTGAGGATCTGGAAATAATGAAACGCAGCAGAGCCCTGCCAGCTTCTTTTAGAACTTCGGTATTTATAAGCTCGATAGAAGATCTTATTAGCTTGATGATTCTTTGAGACCAGGTGCTATTCTTATCTAATTTACTCATTCATTTATTTCCTCAACAAATATTTCTTAAATGACTTTTACATTCTCCCCCAAGCATCTCAAGCAGATGCTTAATAGGAAATAACACTCCCTTTATACAATAACGTTACACAACGCCATCATTTGTTCTCATAAAGGCAATTAGTACATGAATTTCCACCCTCATCCTCAAAATTGCAACACGGTGTGTGGCGGAGAAACCCTGGGTGTCTCAGGTTTCCTCACTCCACATTCTCCCCAAGACAAAGCGGGTGGTTACCGCGCTCGAAGGTGGCCAAGAGCATGTGTGTCTACCAGCAAGCACCTTACCCTCCTCGAATGAAAATAACTCAAAGAAAGTGTAACATATGAAACTGTGGAGTTACAGAACCAGAGCTCACAGACCACCTCTCCAGTAACCAGAGAGTTACTTAAATGCTTTGAATGTCACTTCGCTCGTCTAGAAAATGGGGGGGAGGCCTCTTACCTACCAGGACTGCCACTAAAATCAAACCATACCCTGAGCATGGCCTTCAAAGCCTGCAATTTTGGCTGGCAGAGGTACTGCAGAGGCCAGGGCAGCTTGGGGAGCCCCCATGGGGGACACGAAGCCCCCGTGGTGAGGGGCACGAAGCCCCCGTGGTGGGGGGACACCCAGCAGGTGAACTCGCTGCCTCCCCTTCCAGCTGGTGCGTCCCGGGCAGAAAGAGGCCCCAAAACACCAAGTTACTCAACCTATTGACTATCAGGTTTGTTTCCAAAACCCTGATTTCCAGGTTTCAAAATTGTAAGCTGTGGCCCATCAATGGCCATGTGCCACCCAAGACCCCTCTCAGCCCCTCAGCCTGGATTCTCGCCTCTGGGCTACAAGCACGGCCGGGGTGGCTCATTCCATAAAGAGCCAGCTTCCTGATTGCATTATCTGAGGACTGAGGAGTTCTTCCCTGAGGCTGATCACACAGATGAATCAAAGGCCTCCTGCTTGGAGGGGAGGGGAGTCATCCCCAATTGGCAGATGGACGATTCCCAGGCAGCGTGGAGCACAGATCTGTCCCTGGAAGTAGGCTTTCCCATTCTCGTGAAAGTCAAGGGATTTTTACTTTATCCTCCCAGAGGCATTCTTCCTGCACTGTCCGGAGTTCAGAGCTGTGGCACCCCCCCCACCCAGGACTTGACCACGTCCACACCTACGGTCACTTGTTTCTTGAATTAATGTTAAATGTAATTTTGTTTTTTAACCTAGGCTCATTCTACATAAAACGAGTGACCTCATGGACTAATGCGCCAGTGATTCTCTGTAACACATTCAAATTAATATATTATAATATATAAGAAACAAGTAACTAGCAAAATAAGGAACGTCTGTGCACATGCTGCCTAAAAAGCCTCTCATGCACAGACAGGACTAGGCTTAGGACATTTGGGGAAACTGTCTTGAGAGAAACGACGGGCAAGGCTTGTGCCCAGAGGCCTGCAGGCCCCACGGGGCTGGAGTTTCTCCATCCCGCTCCTTGGGGTGCAGGTCCCACCTGCAAGGCGGTGGAGAGATGTCCCCATCTAGTGGCCGCCTGCTTCCATTACACCGAGAAGCAAGTTTCTGATCCAGAGGTCGAGGTTTCCTTTTGGTGATGGAAACCCGCCGGAATTGCACAGTGGTGATGGCTGCACAACTTTGTAAATATACTCAAAACCCCGGGATTGGACATTTTAAAAGCATGAATTATATGGTACGAGTTATATCTCCATTTTAAAGAGAACTTTTGTGAAGGGTTTCACTATATGAGCAGAAAAACATTGTGTACGCCTTCCTATGGTGAAATTAAAGCATCTGAAGCATAGTGAGTGTGTCTTTTTTACTTGGTCCTAGAAACATGAAGTTAGGAACATCCAGGGGCCACAAGTCTTCAGGACAGAAATTGCTTCATTTGTGCTTTTCTGCGAGCCACAGCTATAGTTGCTACTGAACACAATTCTTCCAGGACGCCTTTATCTGATACTCTAATAAGTTGTTTCTTTTTAGGGGCACTTCTCCCTAAAAAGTGCTTTCAGGCTGCAATTAGACCGATCTGGAACGTGCAGTGCACGCCTTTGCTCTCACTCTGCAGTGGAGCCTGTGGGTGTGGTTAAATTATGATGGTTTATTTTAAGGGAGGCTGAGAAACATCTGCTTCTTGATGGAAACCATGTGTTATTATAAGACACTACGTCAGGCATTTTAACATGATACACTCTTTGCAATTATACTTACTAAACAGAACACCATTGCAGAATTCCCCTCATGTTCTCCTCATACGCCAGCTCAAGAAACTTCCCCTGCGCCTCATATGGGATTGATCAGTGCAATTATTTTGTAAAGGTCTTTGTCAGTGGATTCAAAATAACCAGAAACAATAATTATTATTATTTAGAATTCAAGTGTTAATTTTCCAGCTGAGATGCAGCCTCAGCCTTACAGGTGTGGAAAGAGTAGAAAATGAGGTTATTTGTGTCCAGTGCATCTTCAGGAAGGGGAGATTGTGCAGCTGGCTCCTTGTTGCCCAGCAGGGAGTGCGCTCCCCCAGAAGCGTGCTAGAACACGGCTCCATGGGAGCCAGCAGGGAGTGTGCTCCCCCAGAAGCGTGCTAGAACACGGCTCCATGGGAGCCAGCAGGGAGTGCGCTCCCCCAGAAGCGTGCTAGAACACGGCTCCATGGGAGCCAGGAATCCGTGGGACCCTCGGCTCGTCACTGTCACACTGCATGTTTCATGGCCCAAACCAGTCTTCCTTGTGTGTAAGCTTCAGAGAGAAGGTGCCTTCATGGGGTGAACACAGAAGTGCCACCCCAGAAAGCCTTTGCTGCCAAGCAGCAGGAAAAGGGGTCCAGTCTGAGGCCCCAAGGGAGGAGGAGCTGAGCCGCATCTGCCGTCCAGGGATGAACAAGGTGGGAGGGGAAGGCTGAGCAGCGTCCAGGGAACTCTCTGACAGCCGCCGCCTTCCTCCAGAGCCTGGCCGAGGCTCAGCTGGCCTGACCACACTGCGATTCACTTCTCCCTCCGTGCAGCCCTGATTCCTCTCCTTTCCTCCACAGCCGTTGACCCTAAACCCATCTGGCATGTCAGCCACAGTTCACAATGCACCGTGGAACTCTCAAAGACAGGATTATTGAGCCAAAATGTTGCTGGTGCCTGGATGAGAGATCCTGAGACAGGCTGACCAAGAAGGGAGAGGAGGCGCAGTCAGGCCGGTGATGAGAGGGGGTATCACCACCCGGTGCTGAGGGAATGCCATGAGCAAACGTATGCCAATAAAGATGAAATGCAAAAAGGCCTGGAAAGATCAGACAACCAAAACTGACAAGAAGAAATGGAAACTCCCAATAGACCTGTAACAAGTAAAGAAATTTAATTCGTGATTTAAAATCTTCCCACAAAGAAAAGCCCTGTCCCCATGACTTCATTGGTCAAATTTATCAAACATTTAAAGAAGAAAATAATACCAATTATACACAACTTTTTCAGGAAAACAAACAGTAGGTAATCCTCCCCAATTCATTATATGAGCCCAGGATCACCCTGATACCAAAGCCAGATTAAACATTCCAAGAAAACCTTACACCAATATCTCTGACGAACATAGAGGCAAAAACCCCTAACAATATTTGCAAACCAAAAAAAAAAAAAAAAAAATTAGCAAACCAAATCCAACAGCATATAAGAAGGATTACAAACTAACATCAATTAGAGTCTATCCCAGAAATGCGAGATTGGTTTAATACCTGAAAATCAATGAATCAATAGACGTGGAAAAAAGTCATCAACAAAATCTGATACCTATTCATGATAAAAACTAACAGCAAACAAGAAATAGAAAGAAGGGAATGTCCTCCACCTCTTAATGGACATGTTAAAAAACCTAGAGCTAATGTCAGAATTAGTCATGAAAGACTGAGGCTTCCTCCTAAGATGTTAAACAAGACAAGGATGGCTAATTCTCACGTTGTGCTGGAGGAGAAAGTACATGTTAGAATTCATTAGTTTATTCACATCCATGTAATGTACCGAGGAGACCTCAGATGACAGCTGTGCCAGAGAAGAGCTGGGAGGTGCCCCTAGCTCTCTGGCTGTGCCAGACAAAGGAAATTTGTAAATCAAAGCTGGGATTGGAAACATGAATCAGATACACCCTAAAATATGTTTTCTTTTCTTAATGGCTGAATTGTAACAATAATTTCTCACATTGTGCTGCAGGAGGGAAGGCCTCTGTCTTTCATGATTCACTCCTTTCCCAGGAGGGAAGGAAGGGAGGGAGGGACAGAGGAAGGGAGGGAGGGAGGGAAGGAGGAAGGAAGTTAAAATCATAAATACTGAAAAGAAGAAATAAAACTATCTACTAGAGATGACCTAATCCTCTATGTAGAAAATCTTAAGAAATTTACCAAAAAGAACCCTTTTTTTATCAAAAAGAACAAGCCTATCAAGATTGTAAGATACAATATCATTATGCAAAAATCAATTTTGTTTTATAGAATATCAATAAACCACCTGAAAATTGAATTAAGAAGACAATTCCGGGGCCGGGCGCGGTGGCTCACGCCTGTAATCCCAGCACTTTGGGAGGCCGAGGCGGGTAGATCACGAGGTCAAGAGATTGAGGCCATCCTGGTCAACATGGTGAAACCCCGTCTCTACTAAAACTACAAAAAATTAGCTGGGCATGGTGGCACGTGCCTGTAATCCCAGCTACTCAGGAGGCTGAGGCAGGAGAATTGCCTGAACCTAGGAGGCGGAGGTTGCGG